ACTGTGAGAACCTCAAGTCTTACAAGTAGTAAAACCATGAAAAATATTTAATTTTGCCACATTTGCTGTCTGTTGCTTTGTGTACAGAGATCTGTCTTACAAGTTTTCTTAAATTTTATTGAATAGTCTGGCTTTTCTAACATAGATTGTACCACTAAAGTAGAAAGTTCAAGTCTACAGCTTTTTACATTCACATCAAGTATTAATGTAACACTTTTGACGTAAAAGTAATGTCTCTCTTTGAACTGTGTGACTTGGAATTCTATAGTTATCAGAACAAAAATTTAAAGTTTTGGTAAGAAAGTTCTGTTCTGTATAGACATTTGTAACTTTGTTCGAAATATAATGGCTTCATAATAATAAGGGGCAGCAACCAGTGTTGTCTGTGAATATTTTCAAGCTTTACACTAACCACAATAAAACATACAGATTGCCTTACAAATTTGAAGGTGTCATGAGTTTTAATTGCCAATAACAGATGCAATCCAGTGTAGTTCATTAACAGGTATTCTGTAGATTTACATTTATTTTAGAACAGGATGTGACAGATTTTCTTTGGACTAGGTAATGATCATCCCAAAATTCCTTGTAATTATATAAAAAAGTAAAGCTGTCCTACCATGTAGGTGCTTGGAGGGAGAGGTGGTATAGCTCCTATTCATTTTTGACCTTGATATTAGATGGGGGTGAGTGGTCAGTATCATGCTCCAGCTGCACTTTATCCCCCAGAAAGTACCCTGGTAGGCTAGGTAGGCCCCAGAACTGGTCTGGAAGCAGAGGCTGGAGAAAAAAATCCTCTGCCTCCATCGGGGATTGAACCCTGGTCACCCAGTCCGTAGCCAGTCACTATATTCACTGAGCTATGCTATAATTTAATGCTAATATAATAATTTGACTTGCCACCAATTATCAGAATAAATTATATTTTTAGGCATGACAAATGCTACAGAGCACTATTGTAAGCACTCCATCTTTCTGTGTGTACATATGGATAAAGCAGCTGAAGAATTGGTAAACTGATTTTGTTGAAATTTTGCCATGAATCTTTATTTGAATTGTACAGTTTTAAAAAAATCATATTACATTTGAACAAAACTATTTTGTTGGGCTTATATTGTTATAAAGAGAAATATATTTGTCAGTAACACAGCACACATTTTCACTGTCGATAATGTAGTAACCCGTTGTTTTAGTTATGTCCTGTACAGTTCTTGTAATGCTGTTAAATCTATACTGAAAAATTGGTTTCTCAAATCACACTTTGAGAGCTGCTGCTAGGAACATAGATACTGTGGCATGGGGGTGGATGGTCATTGACCCTAGACAGCTCTCGATATCTCTGAAATCATAGGTCAGATTCTGGCAAACACCTGTTACCTGAGTTACCTGTAATTTGCTATGTGGCATCCGAATCTTAGTTTGGTTTAGAATGACGCATATTATCAGTTAACTGCCAAAAGGGTATGTGTGTGTCGTGTTGTGAGTGGCCAAATGGAATGCTATTGTCCTGTTAAGTCATGATATTAAAAGCTTTGTGTATTTGTGAAATCAGACATTTGTGTCTGAAGTGGATCTGTGGGCTTCATACAGTGTCAAAGAGTTTTGTTTGTGATCCACTTTCAGGGATGTGTTTGCATACTAAAGTCTGCTGAATTAAATAGACTAAATAACAAATAATAAACTGATAATTATTGTGTTTCTAACAGCTAACTAATGTAGTAGGTTGCTGTTTATGTGTTCTAAAATAATAAGAATAATTTACTAAGACTAAAGCAGACAAATCATATGGTAAAGAATATTCTGTTGTATGTTAGCAGCTGTTTTGGCCCTTGTTGCCCTCCAGCAGATAAACTCTGTTACACTTCTTTGTGTAGTAAATAGTCTTGTTTTGGAATGAGGACCCAGCCATATTGAGGGCCTGTGGGCTTTTTTTCTGAACCAGTAGTCAGTTCTTTATTTATCCCATTCTGTTCCCATACTAAATCACTGTTAGTACAGATCAAATCACTGTTGTGTATTACAGTCAGGCATACAGAACTGCAAATGAATATAAATTGTCAACCAGTAACAGTGCATTACCAAACATAATGACATAGACCTGCAATAGGCCTATTGGTAGTCTACCATTTTACACAACTTGGCATTTATTATAATGCAAGGAATATTTAGAGGGAGAGTTTGTGCAGTTTGGATTTTAATACCAGTAACATAAGAAATAAAATTTGTTGGCCCAAGGGAAATGTTTATGTAAGATAAATCTTGCTCCTGTTACAGAGTAAGTTATCATTTTTTTAATATTAGTGGCCATATTAATATTTGAACCAAGAAATAGCTGTACGCAAGACTTTCATCATGAGTCAGTATTGGTTAGGGAGGAGAGTTATTAGTATATTGACATCCATTCTTTTAAGGTTAATCTTTAAGTTGAATGTGGGTCAGTATAGTAACATAAGCTGCAAGGACATAATTACAAGTGGCTTGTGTAGGGAGTGTTACATTTGGCAACATTGCAAGTAGATCTGGGTTACTGGCATATATGCATAATTTCTGGGTAATTTCAAGGAGAATTGTAGGCAGTCTTGAGGGGTAACATAAAAACACAGCATGCTTATGTTACAAATCTTAGAGGGCAACATAATATTTACAACTTAATATTTCACTAGAGGTTGACATAATGCAGACTGCTGTTTGTATTAGAGTCTCAGTGATATGAAACTGTTTTTCTCACCATTTGGTCATTTTCAATAATGACGTCAAGAAACTCCATTCAGAAGAAACTGAACAATTTCTAGAAGTGTCAGTGATATTTATTCATAGAACAAAAGAGTAAATGCCAGAAAATGGATCATGATGACAACTATCACCAGTTCAGTAGCAAGAAGATGATGCACAAAAATAAAAGCAACAGCAGTAATGCTACTGCAACCAGCCTTACACGGTTCCATCTCAGACTGGGATCAGCTGTGTTATCCATGAATTTCCAAGAGGCCCTCATGGAAAGAAAATCATTGAGATACCACACATAAATGACACCCGAAGTCTGTCAGTTTTTTTGTTGTTTGCAGGAGTTATCAATTTGCTAGTGTTAGAGGCAAACCACTGATGAACTAGAACCACAACCATTCGCAGCTCAGCAGTAAGACTAAGAATGAGAAAAATATCAGCAACAGTAATCATAACAACAATAACTACAGCAACCAGCTTTGCAGATGATTCTGTCATCCCACACTGAGAACAGCACATAGACACCACCTGAATTTGTCTGCATTCATGCTCTTTGCATAAATTATAAAACTACTGTTAGTAGAAGCAAACTGGTGATGAACCATAACCACGACTGTTACCAGTTCAGCAGCAAAGGGAAGTAGGAGGAGAGAAAGAATAACAGAAAAAGTAACAGCAGCACTGTCCATGAATTTATGGGATTTCCTTGTGGATATAAAGATAAGAGGCACCACATGTAAACTACCTGGAGGAAGTCCACTGGCTGTTTATATGTTTTTTGTGCATATCATCAAACTGCTGGCTATGGAGAATTAGTAATATCAACAATAGTTCAGCACACTCAACAAAGGACTTTTTCGTCTCTGATGTGGGTGACTGAAATGATTTCCTTATGCACAAAAATCATACAAATTGAATACTGCATATGAGACAGATAAACTATTGGGTGACAATGGAATAATTCTGTATGTGTTTTAAAGGCAACACAAAGTAGGACAGGGTCTATATATCCTTTGATTCTTACACTTCACAGACAGCAGCACATGTGATTATGAGAAAAGCCGGCATGAAGTGCCAGAAATGTGAAGTTGGTTTATATGTGGAAACAAATTTCTTCTTCGTCTGAAAATACCACAGATGCAAATCTTCAATCAGAAGCACAGCTCTCTCTATCAGAAAGTAAGTAGAAGAAAATGTGCAAATATTTATTATCCTAAATAAAAAGCTGTGTTAACAAAATTTAAATTGCACATTCTTTTTTTTATTAAAACCACTTATTTTATGAATTTATAATTTTTATCAAAATATTTAAATTTTTCTGATAGCTTGCACTAAAATTTAATTACCGTGTTAGAATACCTCCATTCATCTAGCAATAATAGTTTAGTTTAAATATCACTGTTTAAGGATAAAAGAAATGTTCGCTTGAGGAGCAAGGAGACCAGTGGGAAAAATTGATGATTAGTTACATCTATCATGAAAGACCATTCATTATGTTCAGCTGGTAAAGTAGAACTAAATTTTGTGTTTGTATGTCGATATTTGATTGTGGGATCGAATATTTCCAAAGTTTTCCTCCCTCCCACACTTTTTTCCATATTTGGTTCTGCAACATTAATATCCAATGTTGAGGAAATTAGGGGATAAGTAAGATGATTGTAACCTAATCCATCCTTTCCATTGTGTAGTGCACAACATGTACATTTTCTAGAAACTGTGTTTGAGAATAGCAAAGAGTAGTTATAGGTAATAGATTAGAGCCTTTATTACTGGTAAAGAAATCCTACATATTAAAGCAGACATTACATTTGTAAGCCAAGAAAATATACAAAAGACGCTTTACCTTTAAGTTATTCTGAGAATAATTAATAATTAAGATACTACACCATTAAGGAATGGTTAAAATCTTCTGAGTAATTTTGACAATTGAAGGATTAGTATCATACTCATTGTGCAGTATGTTTGACAACATAAAGTATACAGAACTCATTCATTGGGCTACAGTAAGTGAAAATACTTGACAGTTGCAAAATCTTACAAGCATTTCTAGGAAACAAAGACTATAATTATAAACAAAGATTGTTTATAATTATAATATTGTTTATAGCAATAACTGCATTACTATAAACAATTGCAATAACTATTAATACATATTGTAGATCAGAAAAATGTATAATCTGTTTACTGCCAGAATGTTAAGTAGATGTTGCTAAGCCTAACTAGTGTTAGAGTGTGAGAGGGTCCTGAAGAAAGTCTGTTTCAAGGTATTGTGATAGGTGAAACAAACAAAATTAAATGTAGAAAGCTGCGTGGTGAATTGTTTACATAGTAGGATTTGAGGTTCTTCCTGTGGTGAGTATGATGATGACGATCATATAGTCTGGTTGAAGTCTACCAGCATTTCAGAGGTCCTTGCTGCCTCCATCATTATTGCCCTGTTAATGGAGGTGCTGGACAGGTTTTGATGACAATTTATACTTCCAATTTGCTACAAATGGTAATGGCATGTGCACAAATCTGTGAAGTGAGAGTGTTGGTGCCATTTGATACAGGGTCCTTAAATGATGTGTGGTAACAGATCTTAAAAAAGTATTCAACATTTGTTATGGTATTTTTGTTAAGTATGTTGGTGCTGGCATTGTGTGCCACAAGGAGTTTTGGAGCTAAGGAAAAGGTAAAATTGTCGCCAATACTTAATTAAGCATCGCACCATGCATATATATGGGGAGTAGTGGTATACCTCCATGCATTCTTAACCTTGGCGCTGTATCTGGGTGAGTGGTTTACTTCACACCTCAGCCACTTTATCTCCTGAGGAAAACCCCTGGTATTGGCTGGATGTGGTGTTGAGTGGGCCTCAGAACCAAAGAAAACATTTTTCAGCTCTATATTTCCTGTTTGAATGTTCTATTCATTAGATGAAAGTTTCCATAGTATACACGCACACCACACAAAAGGTGTATGAAATCTATGGGATTATCTGTTTTCTAGCTTGTAAAGATTGTCGTACAGTAAACAACAGTAAACTTTTAAACAACTTGAAGCAGTAAGTTAGACAGTGAGTAATAGAAAAAGTATATTTGTATAAAAACAAAGATAATTCCAGTTTACTAAATGCATAACGAACTAAGATTGGTGTAAAAACATAACTGACTGCTAATCTGTAATGCTGTAAGTACCATTTCCTGATCACACCAGGAAGCAGTTACAAACATGTTTTTTAATATACAATGCCTTATGCTGCACATTATTCTTTTTTCTTCCTGTTTTGCTAAAAGAATGTAATTTTAAGGTACAGGTCTAAACTAATAAGGGTTGGGTTATTATGTATTTATATGAGTAAAAATCACAAAAATTCCTGACAGTCCAGTCAAATACTCAGTGCTATATTTTCAAAACACGTTTTGACAGGTGCCTAAAATTTAGAAATGTCAGAATCATTAAAATCTTCTCAGGCGATCAGCCTCATCAAATGGTTAAACAATAAAACTGACGTTTCAGGGACTGTCTCTGTCCCCATCATCAGGGTTCTGATGTGACCAACCAAACTAGTTGGTCACATCAGTTTTATTGTTTAACCATTTGACGTGACTGATCACCCAAGAAGATTTTATTGAGTTATGTCGCTGTGAAAGCTTCAAATCATATGTCAGAATCATGCTCAAAACTTCCAAACAGCATGTCACACCTGACATTTTCATACAATTTAAGACTTTTCACACTAAATGCTCTATGCACAGTAATTGGTCTCTGCCAAGAAACCTAAGTCAGGTTTTATGTTTGGATTACTTGCAGCAAATGGAGAGGTTCAAGGTTGTGGAACGAGAAACAAAGACCAAAGCGTACTCCAAAGAAGGTCTGGGTGCTGCACAGAAACTGGACCCTGCACAAAAGGAACGTGATGAAACTGCAGGATGGCTGGCAACTTCCATTGATGCCCTCAATCTCAAAGTGAGCTAATGCTTTGCTTTATCTGCAAAACACTGAGTTTTATGTAAAACATAAAGTTTTCAGTTATGTCAGTATCATGTTTTACAGATATTATTGTCGTCTTGTTTTTCCTTTGGGGAAAGAATACTTCATTACTAATTTTGTCTGTGTTGAATTAGCCAGGCATAACTTGAAAATATCACAATGATTGTCACATTTGTGATCATTGACTCATAAACATTATTTCTCATGAAAGGTATAGAGATGTGAATGATCTATTTTCATACCAAATTTAATATGTAAGAAATATAACAGGGAGTTTAGGGGAATAATAGGAATTGAATTATAAAATGATGAATTTGTGTTTCCGCAGCTGGACCAGTTTGAGTGCGAGATTGAGTCTCTGTTAGCGGGGAAGAAGAAGAGGTTAGATAAAGACAAGCAGGACCGAGTAGAGGATCTGAAAAGCAAAGTTGAAAAACACCGGTACCACATTCGTAAACTGGAAACTCTTCTGCGAATGTTGGACAATATGTCTGTGGAAGTTAGTCAGGTGAGCAGATGTTTACATTCTTATTGTTACTGTGTAAAGAAAGAATTTTGGGTTAAGTACCAAGCAAAGGAAAATTCCTAAATTGACAGTGAACAGGGAAAAGCAAACCAGAATGGAGTATAGTCATATCAGTTGTGGGCAAAAGCATAGGTGTTTCATACATTCATTCCCCTAATGATGGAGATGGTCTCCGAAATGTTGGGCTTTTATATGCAGCTGACAGATTGTTGTCCAAGAAGATGTTGGATTAGTTGTGATTGCTGAATTTGACATTGTAGTATCTACACAAAAATATGCAGTACAATATTTATATGGCGGTGAAATTAATAATGTTAAACGTACCGATACCATTAAAGACCTGGGAATATTTATCGACTCCAAGCTCCGATTTCACAACCATGTTGACCACATATTTTCACATTGTATTAAGTTGCTGGGTCTTGTTCGCACATTAACCTTTTCGTTCTCTTCTCTCGATTG